TCTTAATTAATATCTATCCATCAATACAATGGTAATTAATTGCTTAATCAACTATAATTACAATAATATTACTACACTCCTGCCTTCAATTTCTTAATTAGCTTCATCTTTTCTTCCTGCAACTTTAAATATAGAACATTCCCAAAAATACACATCTCTACACACTGCACTACCACATCGTACAAAACAACATTGTGGGAATTCCATACCAAAAAGCGTGCCTTTTTATATGATTGGTCAAATGATAGATCAAAGAGTAAGAAATAGAGAAAAACTTGACGGAATCAGCAACTCAGGTAAATAAAATGACTAATTTGGTCACCCACTGGATCAAATTGTAGGCTCCAGTACAGTAGAACCCACCTTTGACACGTGTCATTTTAATGTTTATTCTTTTTTCTTTAAAATTTTTAAATTTAGTGGCAATATAATAAAAAGGGTTAATCAGCCCTATGCACAAAAATATAGCACGTTGGATATTCAATTTAAGTCGGACCTTACAGCTTACTTTCTTCCAAACCAACAACATACTAATAAATTGGTAATACTGATAATACTATATTATAATGTGCCAAAATATTTTTGGGTATGAAAACTTTTTAGAATAGCTCGTAATTTCAAAGAGTTTTTGCACTTTTATATGATCACCAATAGCATAAATAAACATAATTTAATAAAGACGTTAAACTAATCTCAAAACCATTAATACATATCTCCACTTTCCGCTTTTGTTTTGAGTTTAATTTTATGTATTTCAATACTGTGACTCTCTTTTTTTCTTCCTCTTTTCTAATCTTATTCTTTCTTTCTTACAATCTTTCATTTTTTTTCTCTTTAAAATTTCTTCTTCATCTTTCGTCAGTTTTATAGGATCGGATTTTTAAGAGAATAAGTTCATAATTGCTATAAAAAGATTTTGCTCTTCGATCTTATATTCTTGTCTTCTTATATTTTTGTCATCAACTCTAGTAAGTTACGTGAGAAAAGTAATCATCTCAATTTCTTTTGTTATGTACTAAAATTTGATATGTTTAAATACTTTACTTTAATTGTCTAGATTTTGAGTAATTTTGTTGGGTTAAAGATGTTATTAGAACAAAGGATATATATGAGTGAAGTTCTTTGTATTTTTTTCTAACTATAAGATAAATTAGTTAAATGTGAAGGTGATTTAGTAACTAAAAGTTTGGTTCTTATAAAGGTATTGTGGTTAGTTGAAAATATATTGTTATGTAACGCGTTTTGTTACATAAATCCAATTCGATAAACAACTTAATGAGCCTTCAAGACATCATATGATTCAATTTTATATCAGACGACCCAATGATCCACACCACATTCTCGTAGTGATTTATACAACAAACAAGTATATAATACAACTCTTAGATACACTAATGAAACGAGTCAATGATCAGACGAGCCAATGGTTCATATCTACAAAGGCATGATCCAAACATTAGACATCTAGTAGTTTCACATAATATGTGTTTTTATAATTTACGAATTTAGATGTCTTCTGGTTCAAAAATCATACTTTTATTCCACTAAACTTAGCATCAATCAACTCAACTTTTCAATCTTCAAGACACTCTATTTTCTTCATTAAGCTTATAATCCTTCATAGTCATTGAAAAATCTCTCAATCAATTTGCCAACAACGCCAATAATTCTATTATGTATCATTGTATTACCTATAGATGATTTATGAACATGCTTATACTTCAATTGAACAAAATATAAATTAGAACATTGAAGAAGTGTCTATATAGTATATTGGATCATCAAGAAGTTCAATAGCTAAATTATTTACTTAAATAGTCTAATGAAAGCCCTAAATAGTCTAATGAAAGCCCTGTTTAGATCATCTAGCATGTACGAAGACTTTAAAAACTATTTTTAATAAATTATTTTAGTTAAAGCTCAATTGATCTCAAATTGATACAATCTTATTAAAATAGTTTATTTAAATTAAATTATGATTTAAAAAAAGTTAAAATTAAATGTTTTAAATGTGATTAAAGATGTACTCTTCATTTTGTTAAAACAATAGAGAAAGTTAAAAAAATGTGATCATTCACAAAACATTTTAAGTATAATGACAAAAAAATATCAATATAAAGACAAACATATTAGGAAAGACTAATACAAGATAACTCAAAGCATTCAAATTACAATAATTTTATCAAAGACGTCTATTAAGGAATTTTTCCTATAAACAAAATTAATAAATGTATGATAAAATAATCCTATGTATAAAAGTGTGCATTCATGTAAACACTAATGCAAAGAAATTCTCAATTTTCTTAGTGCCTGTAAAAATAATTTATCTATCAGATAACTAAAGTGGAAGTCTTTGGATTCTACTAAATAATTTTTATTTTATAGTCATGAGTAACTGTATATTTTGTTATAAATAACATTGTTTACTCGTAGTTAATCTCGGATATTAATATATAGTCAATAATAACTTTATCTACTTATTTTGTTTTTTCCTTTTTTTAGATTTAATTGTATATTTACTTTCTATATATACTTCATAATTTCTATGTTTTATTTTTTTTAAAATGCTCATTTTAATCACAATACAATTTTTTAACGTGGTTTAGTTCCTCTTGTTCAGAACTGAAAACAAAATCAAATTAAAAATACCTAGGATATAAAATAAATCATTTTCAAATATAGACTAAAATGCAAAAGCATTACATGTATAAGGACAAAATAAATAACACAGATTCATGTTACGAACTAAAGAAATAAGGACAATTGGCATTCTATAGACCACAAAGAGCATGAAAGTAATTGAAAGATCTCTCTCTTACGAAAACAAGACACAAATTTTATTGTAATTTTTTCAAATATAAAATGGAGATTTTATTTATGAATTTTGATATTTTCTTAACATCATGAACATGTCTAATATTCAAATCTTTGGACACTTGTTTCTTTAAAATCTCGTGACTATAAGTGTAGATGAAGTTCACTTGAAAAGAAAGCAACATTAAAATAGTTTTTATTTTGCAAACTTTATTTTTATAAAATAATATAATTCAAAACGAAGAAGTCTGTGTAGGTAACGAGAATAGAGAAAAACATGTGGTTTTGTCCAAACCACGCCACTCCCTTTGAGAAGGTTCTCGTTCCCTCCGTCTCCGCCACCTCATGGAGGCGGAGCCACGGCGTCTCCGCCACCTCATGGAGGCGGAGCCACGGCGTCTCCGCCACCGCCAACCAAAAAGGTGGGAAATTGGGGCACACCCTTCTGGGCGTTATCCGTTCCAATTCGACTCCAATTCCGAAACTAGCAGAACAAGAAGGAGAGATCAGTGGGTCAGATGTGCTTTGGGCACTGCAGAGAGCGAGTGCTCGGAAGAAGAAGAACAGGAAGAATAAGAAAGAGCATCGGAGGGACGAATCCTCCGTGGCCTCTCTCACCGAACAATCTGCTGCGAATTACACCAACGTTCGTCCACTCTCCATAAATGCAAATTGGGCTGCTAAATTGGAGGACTTGGATAAACGTCTTCGTGAGCTTTCTGATACAATTTGATTTCACTGTTATTATTTACATCAAGATATATATTTTTTTTCCTCTGATAATAATTTAACATAGTTTGCTTTTAAATTGTTGCTTAATTTTGGGTCACCTGAACGTGGTATGCGTGCTTTTGCTTGAAGAGTGGAACTTTGGTTTTCAGTATTATACTAAATGGATGGAGTAGCTATGAATTAGCAACTTGGAAGAATATTATTTTGGAATTTTTAATTTTTATGATAAAGGCTAAAGATGATTAGGTTTGGATTTGATTCTTCATGCTTGTCTGGCTTTTTTCCACTTGCAAAGAAGTTGGGTTAATAAACTTGAAAAATTCTCTTGTAATATTTGATACTCAACAGTATTACTTAATGATATCATAAGCATGATCCTTTAATACATACATGTTAAACTGTTTTGTCTTCTGGAGGCGACACTTGCGGATTCCTTCACGCAGCACTGTACCTTTTTTCAATTATATTCTTGACTTCCTGTGTTCTGAATTCTAATTGAGAGAAAAATATGAAACTCCATTAAATGGCATTGTTCTGGTGGGGCACTAAGCCAATCTTTTATTTTTGAGTTGACCGGTTAACTTTTTCCGCAAGATATGAGGGTTTTGGGGAATGGAAACTTCATTTCGTTTTCAAATCTTATGGACAGATTATTCTGTGATTGTCTTGTACTGTATTTCCTGTGAACCAGGATTGATTATTGGGTTACCATTACCATAACTTGTGTGTGTGTGTGTGTATATATATATATATGGACAGGAGCACAACAAAAGAGAGAAAGATCGCTTGTAAAAAACTTCATCTGTAAAACAATAACCTCTCTCTAATAGTTGTAAAGCCCTATATTATATTTCTAAAAAAGACCTTTGATCTGTTTACCGTAAAATACTGAAATTGACTCCTTTTTAAATCCTTCATTTGATGTGTTCAGATGTAATACAATATGCCTCTTAAGATTGAGATATCCTCCCCCTAGTCAACAAAATGAAAGCTGGTTAACCTAAGCAAGTGGGGTGGTGCCTTATCTGAAAATTTTCTCGTCATCAATCCATTTCTTGTGTGAATGAAACAGGTTGTAGCATTTAGTAATACCAGCTTTGCAAGCTACCATGTAATCGTTAATGAATAGAACGAGGTAATAACATACAATGAACAGAAGTAAAACCAAAAGCATGTATCTGAAAAGAAGTAAAACCAAAAGCATGCATCGACGATGTTTGTTCATTTCTGGGGATCAACGATCTCAAATGTTGACGGCAGATTAAGCCCTTCAGCAAAAGAATAAACATGTAAGAAATTATTACATGTAAGAAATTCGGCAGCCATCAATAAACATTCGTGAAAACAAGCCAAAAGCCTAGTTCTTGAGTGGTCCAATTTTCTCGTATATGCTTTTCCATGAATTAGTTGGGTTTGTTTAATTATTCCATTTATAAATGGCAGCGAGGTATTGATTAACACTGCTAAAAGTACTAATCCATTTAAAGCTCACAAAACTGCCACTAACAGGTAAAGTTTTCCTGAAGCCAAATTAACACAATTTTCTACTGGCTGTCAATAAAAAATTCCAAGCATTACAAGCACAAAATATGACAATTACTCCGCTGTGACTCGTCTAACAGCAGTAGGCACCATCATTAAAAAGTTAAATAGAATATCACTGGTCCTAATCCTAACTTTCTCTTCATATTTTTCTTCTTTTTTTCCCCTTTCATGGGATAGGGATAGAGATTGTGTAAAAATGTATACCAAATGGTTCCCAAAATCCCCTCACCACCAAAAGACAGATTGCATTAATCTGTCTTATATCCCTAATAGGGTCGATACCTTCTACTACGATTGCCTTCATCATTGCCACTACCTCCTCGCCCTGGCTGCCCACTTGGACCATTACTCCGATCAGTTCTGCGTGGTCGGCTGGGTGGCGCTTGTACACCAGGTTGTTGACTGCACCATATCACCATTATCAACATCACTTATTTTTCCAATTTTCACAATTCAGTTTAATAAAACTAAATAAACATTACTCCATAACATAGAATATAAACTTATGATTCCGATTTAAAAACATGGACACAATGATTGAAAATTACACACGAAATATAAATAAAATTAACAGCAAAATTATGTACAGAACATTAGTAATGATGATACATTAATATAATTTTTATACAATACTTAAAAGTATTGGGTTACAACTTTTCCCCATTACTGTGTTAAAATACTATTTTGCATAATTGCCAATGCAATTTTAAATTATATTGACAATACTAAATAACATATTATAATCATTTATAGTATGATTTAAATTTAAAAAATGTTCTTGTTAGTATTTTCATATAACAAAATTTATCTAAAATGAATTTGCAGAAACTTACAGGACATAGCCAATTCGACCGTCTGGTAACACCATTGGAACCATTTGCATTCCTGCTGGCATTGGACCCCTACCATATATCATTGGCTGCTCACATGCATAAGAACCCACAAAGATCCAAGCGGATTAGAACAAAGGATAAAACACGAAACAAAGACATAAGGTATAAATATACATTGTAACTCAGTAAATACCTGTTGATAACCACCACCAACACCATATCCAGCCCCTAAAGAGCCATAAGGATTTCCAGAAAAGTTACCATACGCAGGATGAGGAAGATGGTTTGGATGCAGTCCAGGATTGTAGCCGTACCCTCCGTCTGGTTTTTTATCAGCTTGAGGCTTCGCAAGAACAACTTCAAGAACTTGTCCTGCAGTTCAAATTCATTAAACACTGAGTATATTCAAAGTACTTCTTTTACTGACAAGTGATAGCTGACACTTGTTAATGATTTATGCATAGATAAGTGAGATACTCCTTACTCTCTTCTTTTGCATAGAAATTCAATTAAAGAAAGTAAAAATAGACAAACATGAAGGGACAAATTTGGCTTATTACAATAGTATAAAACAAATACCATCAATTTCATATTTCTCAGTATCTTTTACAGCTTTCAATGCACTTGACCTCTCTGCATAATGAATGAAGCCAAAATCGCGTTTTCCTCCAGCTTTGCCAGGTGGCATGACCACTTTTGTTACTTCTCCATGGCGACGGAATAGTTCCTTCAGTTGTTCGGTGGTAACATTCTCTGGTATGTTCTTGACGTACAGAGCTTTAACCTGAAAATGCCAAAACAAAAATGGTTTGGAAGCAAAACTTCAATTAACTCATCAGTTCCCCGTAGGCTCATACAACCTAAAAAACACATCAATATAAACACCACATATCAACATTTATGATGCTTTAGACGATCAACATCAATCCCTTTTTTAAACAAAACCATCTTTCTGTAAGTGTCAGTCATTAATATTACCAAAACAATGATTCAGAACCTAGAAAGTAAAGACACTTAAATGTTTCTGATATCTGTACATTTCATGCCAAGGAAAGATTGAGAAACATGGCAAGGGACCAGAAAAATTTGGGATAGAAAGGATACGAGAAGAAATCCAAAGTGATTGAAAGGGTAAATGTTATGCTTACAGAAACAAGGATGAGCTTATATGTGCCAGAAAGCTAGCTTCATAACTAACAACCAAACTAACCAACTAAACATGTGGTAATAGCTCCTAGCAACCTGAACAATAGACATTACAACCTAGGGATTAATAACACAAGCCATGAGAATGAGAAACAGCAATGACGAAGAAGCATAACTCAGAAGTCTTCAACAAGAGTGTAGGTAAACTTAATCTTATTCTTACGCCACTACAGTACGTATTAAAGCATATTGGAAATTGGTCCACCATATTGCGGGAACAATAATCTAAATTCCAAACTGAGACAGAGACTTAATAAGAAAAGGTATAAGCTGAAGTCAAAATTTAACACCTAAGGCAGTTGCAAATCAACACCGTATAAAATATGCAGATGCATTTGAAGATTCTGACAGTCCTGCATGGAAAATTTATAGAATAGGAATCTCTGAAGAAATGAGTAAAAGTTTAGATGACCTATATTGAATGAAATTGACAGAAGAACTATTCTTTGCCAAGTGTTTCCCTTCACAAGTGATTCTTACAACTGAGCACTTGTAAATTCTCTCCAAATTCATATTCCTGAATGACCCTCCCGATCCTTACTACCTCCATATATTTAACTTATCCTCTCCAACAAATCTACAGCTGTAATTGTCCCTCAGCGAGACTTCTAAATTGTGATAAGCCTAACCTCAACGTAAAGTAAACTCATCTTCGCATCCACCTTTTTATAACCAAAAAAGAATGTTATGAGAGCCAGTTTTTCACTTTACTTTTTTTTCTCCTTTTTTAGGAAATTATACAACTTAGTCAAATTAACAGATAAAAAATGCAGCTCGGACAATGTCTGAACCTAAATCATAATAAATTTCACCAACGGCAAACAGGTCTTCCTATATGCTGAGATCCAAGTTAAAAGCATAAAGAAACTTGAAAATACCATAGAATTGGGTTCTTCAGTGTGAGAAGGAACAGGAGGATACGATAGCTAGAGAAGGGAAGAAGGGATACATGTCCAATCCAATCAAACCATTGATGCAATGATAGAGAAAGCTATAAGAAACTTTTCATTTGCATTCCACCTTAATTCTGGAAATTACCTGTGAAGAAGCAGAATGATCAGGAGAGTTCTTTGGATCTGCCCATGTGACAGTGGGTGTATTGCCATCCAGCTTAAAGCTTGCATTTGACATCTTTTGCCGAGAATAATCAGCACATGCATTATTGTAATACAAAACAAAAGCAAATCCACGATTCCTACTTGGATTTTGAGGGTCCTGATAAAAACAAAATGGAGACGGAATAAAATATTAGGCCTGACAAAAGTTTAGTGTAAGCTAGTAGCACAGCCACTGGAGACTGAACCTTTATGAGCTCGATGTTTTCAACTCCAGGACCAACTCCTTCAATGACTTTCCTAAAGTCATCTTCCGTCCATGTTTTTGGAACATTACCAATGAATAATCTGTGTTTGGTTTCAGAAAGTGAACACCTCAAAGTTTTACCCTGAAATGATGAAAATTTTTAACAGCATTTACTAACATTGGATTCATAACTGAAATCTGACTTGAAAATAAAATATAGACAACAAGATACTTTTAGGGAGAACAGTAATACCTTAAATTCCCTGCTATGTATCTCCTCGATTGCCTTTTGTGCTACCTCTTTTGTTTTAAAAGCAACAAAGGCATAACCCTTGTTTTCACCAGTGTCCCTGTCTTTCATTAATCGTACCTGAATAGTAACAATAAATAAAAATCTTACTAATAATCCCAATGTTTCCCATCTGCAGAAAGGACAGCTTTACCATATCATTACATCAATTTATCAAGGCTCACCTCAAGAATGTCACCCATCGGCTCGCACAAATCCCTTAAATCATCTTCACATACATCCCGAGGAAGTCCACCAATAAAGACTTCGGAACCATGAGGTGGAAGGGCAAGAAGTTCGTCATGCTTCTCTTTCTCATCTTCATCGATGAATGACGGTTTTTGATCATCATCACCAAATTCAGTGGCAATGTCACTTTTTTCTGCTTCAGGTAATTGGTCCTTCTCACCAACGTCTGCTGTTGAGTCCTCGTATTCATGTTCCTCAACACTACCTTCAACGTTTTCATCTTCACCTCCATCCACTCCGTCGTCATCTATTTGTTCTTCAACATCATCATCGATCTCTTCCATGAAATTTTCTTCATCAAGGTCCACTCGCTCGTCAATTTCTGCACCTTCTGACATGATTGATTCAGGCTTTTGTCATGAACAGCTGAATACCTGCAGGTTCACATATTAATCACAAAATCTGTTCAGAACTTTAGGATTTACAGGACACCAGCTTTAGGTAATTGTCTTTTCAGAGGGGAAATTTTTTTTCTAGGACAGTTAGAGAGGAGGCGTACAGAGGCATAATGCCAGACAGAACCACATAGACCACCCACAAAAATCACTATATTGCTTTCATTTGGGCAGTGGGTAACTGAATTGAGATCCTAAGGGTCGTGTTTGAGAAAGAAATTTGGGAGGGAAGGGAAGGCATTTGAGGAAGGTTTATAATGGTTGGGTGATTTTTAAAATAGGAGAAAGAAAAGAGTTTGGAGAATTTTTAAAACCCTCTAAAACCCTAATTCCCCCAATTTGAGGCATTAGAAAAAACAAAATTAATTTACTCAATAATCCCGGTTAACTTTTGTAAATTCTGGCTCTCTCTGATTTATATGCAAGATGTAGAAACTCTCTCTCATATCCATGTTTATCTTCTCAGCACTAAGAACCTCGTCTTAGCCCTCCTACTCAGCCCTCCTACTCACTGGTGATTGCAATTAACAACAAGGGGCAACAGCAAGTTTTCCTGCATGCGTAGATGTGGATATGGGCGTTGTCCAGCAGAAGGTCATAGTAGACCTGGTCCTTGGGGATCTGAGTGACATAGGTTCCCACTGGCCAGCTCTATCCATTCCTCTTGTAAATCAATGACACAATCAAGGGCGAGTACTGAGAACTTCCCCTTCATTTCCTTTCCCTCCTAACTGGGAGAAAATTCAGGTCTAATTGTTCATTAGGCTCTTGACCTATTTCAGTTCTAGTTCTACACTATGAGAATGGACAATCGGGAAGTTCAAATACTTTCGTTGAAATCTGTATGCAGACTATACAAAATCTTGTTTGTCCAATGCTGGAACAGAACAATAGCGACAAATTGAACCCGTTATTAAAATTAAACAAGACAAAGAAGCAGACACTCAAATCTCGGTGAGATAGAAAACCCTGCAAGGTTAGGTTAGGGTTAAACCCTCCTATGTGAGTAGGAGAGGAGATGAAGAGGAGTACAGAGCAGAAAAATGTGACATACCAAAGGGAAAGATGGTTTCTTGGTAGATTAGGGGCCGAAAATGACGATTTGGGAAGGGTTAAAATTGGATCGAAAGAAGAAGTGGGGCGAAGAAAAAGAGGCATATTTATGATGGAAATTGAAAAAGGAGGGATTTTGGATAGCGTACCAGTGCTAACAAATGAAAGGTTTTCGGATTAGCTTCTGAGTGGGTTTCGGTTCTGTGATTCTTCTTCTTCGTTTCGTTCTCACCCTTCTTCCTGTACACAGAGAAAGAGAGAGAGAGAGAGAGACAAAGACTGAGATGTTTGTATGCGTTTATCTGCCAAACCCTCTTTTTCCAGATGCCCCAAATAGACAATGATATAACATGGTCGTTCTCATTTTATTCTTTTGCACCCGCGCTCTCCACCAATTACCAATTCCCACGTGTTCCATTAATCAATGACCACCTTTTTGTATATTCCACTTTAAATTTAAATTTCCTTATTATATATGTAATACAAAATTTTAAAAATGAGTTAATTTAGATTTTTTTTCTAAATCACCTTACTTTATTTAAAAGTCAAATAAAAATTAAAGTTCACCATGTTAAATTCTTACGAAAATAAATGGGTCAAAAATAGTTAAAGAAATAATTTAGATATATTATTATATTCATGAAATATATTTCAGTTGTACATTTTCTATAACTATTTTACCTCTTATAAAATTTATTAATAAAACATTATATATCTTATAATAAATATTTCTCAAATAATTAATTATTATTTAAAAATATCTAATAATTTTAAAAATATATTATAATATATAATAACGTTTAATAAATCTTATAATATCTTACAATATATAAAATATTTCATAATACCTAATAATATATTTTTCAATAATTTTTAAATGTTTTATGTTTTATTTAAAATATTTATTTAACTTTATTTGTTTATTTTTCCTAATTATAATAATATTTTACGATCTTACAGTTAAAACTAAAAGAACATTTGTCAGACTAAAGTTATTATAGTCTTGTCAAATTTATTTGATAAAATAAAATTTTAAATTAATAAAATATTATATATTTTATAATAAATCTTTTTCAAATAATTAATTATTATTTAAAATATGTAATAATATCTAAAAATATATTATAATATATAATAATATTTAATAACATCTTATAATATCTATCAATATATAAAAATATCTCATAATACTTAATAATATATTTTTAGATAATTATTAAACCTTTTTATCTTTTATTTAAAATATTTATTTGGCTTTATTTATTTGTTTTTCCTAATTATAATAATGTTTTACAATCTTACAGTTGAAACTAGATTAACATTTTTCAGACAAAAGTTATTTTAGTCTTGCAAAATTTATTTGATAAAATAAAATTTTAAATTGATAAAAAATTATATATCTTATAACAAATCCTTTTCAAAATAATTAATTATTATTTAAAAACATCTAATAATATTTAAAAATATCTAATAATATATAGTAATATTTGATAACATCTTATAACAATATATAAAAATATCTCAACATACCTAATAATATCTTTTTAAATAAGTATTAAATTTTTTATCTTTTTATTTAAAATATTTATTTAACTTTATTTATTTATTTTTCCTAATTATAATAATATTTTACAATCTTGCAGTTAAACTAAACAGACATTTTTCAGACAAAAGTTATGATAGTTTGAAATTTTTAAATTAGTCATATTTAATAAGTTTGGTTGTTGAATATAGAGAAGAATTTTTTCATAACAAGATAAAACTTTTAAAGATATATATATATATATATATATATATATATGAAAGTGTCTTTACAATGTTTTGGGTTTAGTATAATATTGGAATATGAAAAAAAATAAGTAAAAAATAAAAAAATTTAAAACATAATTTTTTTATATTTTATATTAGTTTCTATCTCATACAGGAGAGATAATTGCTTTGAAGAGAGAGAAAATTGAGGCAAACGTTACATGAAAAAAAGAATTAATGTGTTTATCATATGCTTTTTATGCATATTTGTAGTATATCTATATATTGTTCTGATAATAGTCTATAATGTTCCTGTTTGATATTATATAGCTTATTATAAAACGTTATTAAATATTTTACATACCTATAATATATGGATGAAATCAAACTTTCTTTTTTTTATAACAAATTAGACTTAATTTCACGTAATATCAAAATCATTTATATATTATCTCTCAATTGTGATTTCAATGTTTAAGCGGTTGCCTAACTATGTTAAAAAAAAATATTTAGTAAATGATTCAAAAGTGTGTACAATATTGAAAAGAATATATCACTAAAGCATGTTCCATAAAATAGTCTTGGTGATGTAATTAAAATTCTATTTTTATTCTATTCAAAGGTAAAAATTTGATCACCATGACCATTGATGCTTGTCATTCTTCGTTTCAGTGTATTTATCTTTTTTTTTTACTATTAATATTTTTTAATGTTTTATTTTCTTTCATCAATCGTTTTTTAAAATTTTCTTTTATTATTCAATTTTTCGTTCCTCCTTTATAACTTTTCACAAATATTTACTAAATTGATATTTTACCAATTTATATCCTAATGTAATTGGATATAACGTTACATGATCCTTTCAGTTTTAGCATTACAGAATATGAAATTAAACTCTTATTATAAGTCTAAATCAAATTTGGTCTCTATAAAAACTATTAAGGTGTATAACAACTTTAAAATATTATATCTTATTTTATCGTCACGTGTAACTTTCACTTTCACTTCATTCTTATCCTGAACCTCCACTTTATCATCTTTACCTTTCACTTCATAATTTGTATCAGAGACTTTTTATTTTGATGATCATTTTCATTGTCGTCTTTGTCAACTTCTACAAAGTCCTTAACATGACTATTATCTCCACTCTCTAAAGGTCCATAACATAGGTCAATAACTTCATTTGATTCATTCTCTACAATTCAACTCATCCATCAACCATAAACAAGTGAACTCTGTCATAATACTTGGCCACCTTAACCATATTAATAGCACATTTGTCATCATACAACTGATGCAGCATATTTTCAATAAAATAAAATAACTATCTAACTTCAATGTATTCAAATTCCTTAAGTGAACTTATGACTTCAAAGTAACCTCATTTAACGGAATCACATGATCAATAACTTGTTTCTCTGTGAATGTATTTAAATGATACATCATTTTCAAAGATTCAATTGTAGCGGACCACAACTTCATATTTCTCATTAGACATCCCAAAACAATATTGTATGCAACCCCGTAAAATTAAAACATACATTAGCAGCATGTGGACCGCTAACACATTTAAAAAGCTTAAAAGGTATGAGAGACTGATACCAAAATTGACAACTGACATATAAACAATTTAAAATTTGGGGACACATAAGTGTAATCCACTTACATAGAAAATAACATTTTGTTCAATCCACATTATGTGAAAAACATTAGCATACCAAAATGGACAACAAACAAAAACTACCAACACTATTCAATGTCACGCAAGAAACCAAAAATTTCAACAATGAGTTTTAGGAAACCAATGACCTATTCAAATAACTGAGTTGGTATTCTTTCTTGACATAATGAAAGATGTTGAGACAATGTCGTATAGAGAAACTAGATCATTTAAAACATTTATGATTTTGAAGTTTAACAAATAACATTAAACAAAATAATATTGGGTAGATAAGCGTCTAAGAAAAATAAGAACACAAGTATATTGCACAGAAAACATAAACACATCCTTGAGTGATCATGAGAGAGCGCGTATGAATATTGGGTAACAAACAACATAGAATTATCTAGATGTCTGTTTAACCAGTAACATAAAGCCTAAAAAAGTTGTGCTAAAAAGTGTTTAAATGCTAATATGATAAGTCACATCACAGGAGATTTAACAAATATTATTACAAGTGAAAATCATCTTATCTATATGAAAAATATTTACAAAAATACATGGTAAAACAACGAGCTTAAAAGATCTAGGCAACATCCGTATTACAAAAGTGTTGACTTAAAGAGAGATAAACTAAAATAAAATGACGTGTTTTTAAGAAAAAACGTCTGATGAATAAAAAAACATACATACACTTGTCAATACATTATGCTTTAAGATATATACACATTCATAAAAAAGTGTATATCTTCATATACTATATATAGTTATAAATATAATATTTATTTTTAACTTATTAATTTACTTATTATAATAAAAACAAAATTCAGTGTTCAAAATAATGTAGTAGGAGCTAGTTTTTGGGATGAGACCAGTCATTGCCAATAAACTCGACTGATACGGTGCGTTTCACGAGCAAAGCACAAGAACAAACAAACGCAAGTTTCCAGTTGAAGGGGTTCGATCGAAAATCACTCGCGCTAGGGTTTGTTCTCTCGGAAGCCATGGGAGGTGAGGAGAAGCGCCACCAAATGATGCAGAACCTCTTCGGCGACCAATCCGAGGAGGAGGAAGAGCTCGACGTCGATTCCGAGCACGAATCGAACCCCCAACTCAATTACCCCTCCGTACGCCCCAATTTCACACTCCTTCTCCTTGCAACGCGTTTGGATCCCTACCCTAACCGTTTTTCCATGTTTTGGCGTTTTGTTTTTTTTCAGGACGAGGGAGAGGGAATGGGAGAGCAAGAGGGAGAGGGCGAGGTGGAGGGCCAGGGGGAGGTGGAAATCGAGAGCGAGGGAGACGGAGAAGGAGAACACGATCGCGAAAGCGAGGGCGAGAGGGAGCAGAGCTCGCAGGAGGTGGAAGTTGGAGAGAGAGAGGAGAGTGAGGGAAGAGATTCGGATAGTGACGCCAAAGATGACGGCTATAGCCAGCGTGGCGTCACGAGTAAGCGCCGCGATGACGTCGTTGAGAGCGGATCTGAAAGGTCGGAGGAGAATCATTACGATCACCACGAAGACGAGGAGGAAGAAGTCGACGAAGCTAGAAGCCCCAGGTATAATGTTGCACGGAAAAATGTGGACAAATGTGGCTGAAATATGTTGGTATTTGTGGACGGGTTTATGTTTTCCTTTATCAGTGTTGTCATGCATATTGAAACATGTCATTGATTAGGGCATAGGATAGAACACAGGGAATTACTGATGATCCAAGACTTTTTTGGGCTTAATTATTTTAGTTTTTCAATTTTTGGATTCTAGCGCACCCCCTAATTTGATCCTCTAACCTTGTACCGGTTGACAAGTTCATCCTCTCTGCTAACTACATTTAACATTTTCTAACTGAATGGATGAACTTGTTTTACAGAAATAATTAAATAAACTTAAAAGATCAAACGTCAAAGAACTAATCTTGCCGAGTGTTTTATAACTGCTGCATGACATTAAGACTGATAGTTTGTCTTTTTTTTTTTTTAAATGTAGTGTGTCGCCCAGAGATGAAAAAGAAGATGAGACTCGTGACTTGCATTCGGCCCCTGAAATTCGTGATGTATTTGGTGATTTTGATGATGATGAAGAAGAGGAAATGGGGTATGCTGTTCAGCAGGACATCGAACAAGATTCAAATGTTAGTGAAGGTGCCAATAGTGGATATTGGTGTCAATAATGAATTTTTCCCTTTATCTGTGAATTGCCCTAATTTTAAGAATTGATGGTATTATTGGTTTCCTACCCCAGAGATATCCTGTGGAGGAGGAAGGAAGTTACGGAAAGAACCTGAGACCAGAAGATATACTTGCTGATGAAGATCATCAGTATGAATCAGAGGAGGAAAACTTTGAGATAAAAACAAAAGAGAAGCCACTTGGCCCCCCTTTAGAATTGGAAGTTCCATTACGACCTCCTCCAGCTCTTCCAGACAAGGTCTGCTTCTAATTAATAAGTTTATTTATTCGATCGAGAACCCTTTATTTTTATTTCATATTTTAATTTTAAATTAGCTTTTAACTTGGTGGCTGCAAAACACGAGTAATTGTCACTCTTATGTCGTTCACATTGTTGTGATAAAGAAGTTGGCATGTGTAGTGTGCGTGAGTGACTCCTGAATTGGAAGTGTTTAAGGAAGTGCATCTTTTAAGACAGTTTCTTGATAACTTCCCCATGCCAAAGATGGTGACATGTTGCAAATTAGATGGGAATTGTATAAATCAGGTTATATGATAACAAGGTCATGATGAATACGTTTTAATACCTAATATGTCCCAGGTTTTATGTATAGATGCACATGCATTGCCTTTTATAATGATGTGCATCCTGGTAAGACAAGTTGAGTTTCATTATTCAGACACTTGTATTTTAATCTCTCTCTCTCTCTCTCTCTCTCTCGGCAGATGAACATGATTAAAGTTTCCAATATTATGGGTGTTGACCCAAAACCATTTGATCCTAAAACATATGTGGAAGAGGATACTTTTGTAACTGATGAATCTGGAGCCAGAAAGCGCATACGGTTGGAGAATAATATTGTGCGTTGGAGGACTGCTAGAAATCCTGATGGCACAGCATCTGTAAGTAATTGTATACCGTTTCTTATGCATGCTATCGATTATAATTTCTGTCAAATTTAAATGGGATAAGGACGATTATGACGTTCTTGTTTGTAACTTAACTGCTTTTACATCATTTGTATTTGTTTCTACTACCTTTTACTAGCCTAATTATATCATAAAATATATGTTTTTGAATTTTGAGGTTAATATTGGGATGGATTCAGGATAGAATGGCAAAATGTATTCTTTTAATGTTCTGGAGTCTACGATGCCTTCTGTCGACAAAATCTGCCCTTTGGTTGACAGAATCTGATTTAGTTTTGATGTGCATGAATGGACATGATTTTTTTGAACTGTATAGATTGATAGTCTGTTAAGGAAGTTTATGATATTTTAAGGATATGGAGTATCAAATTTGAAGCTGATCATGAGGACGAGGAAGTACTTCAATAAAGTCAGTAGTACTAAATAGGAATAAAATATGTTCTATTATGTTTACCCTTTAACTTTGTAGAAAACCAGGTGGGTTAGTGTTATGATGATTTGTCATTCATGATCAGGTTGCAGTATATAATTGTTTGCAAGAAATGTATCATGGATTTTCTATTACTGTAGTATGAAAGCAATGCCCGCTTTGTGAGATGGTCCGATGGCAGCCTGCAGCTTTTAATTGGGAATGAAGTTCTTGACATATCAGTGCAAGATGCACAGCATGATCAAGCGCATCTATTCCTTAGACACGGAAAGGTGAATTTTGTTATTCCTGTGAATGTCTTGATGAATTACCATTTTCCCCTAATTGTCTGTGTTTACATGCTTCAGGGAATCCTTCAATCACAAGGAAGGTTATTGAGGAAAATGAGGTTTATGCCATCTTCCTTGTCTTCAAATTCTCATCGGCTGTTGACTGCCCTTGTTGACTCAAGGCATAAGAAGGTTTACAAGGTTAAAAACTGCATTACTGACATTGATCCTGAGAGGGAAAAAGAGGAAAAAGAGAAGGTATAATTAATAATTCAATAATTACGTGCTAA